TGGTTCTGGGCTCCTGCTCGGGCCGAGGGGCCCCGCGTCTCCCCAGCACCCCCCCTCCTCTGTGCGCCTCGCCGCCGGCACAGCCCTGAGGTGTTTTTTGACTCGCCGGCTGTTGGTAGTTGAAGCTCCGGCCCGGCTCCCTCCCCTCCGCAGCAAACCCTGTAGGAAAGTCATGGACCCCCAGCATCAGCCGGGTTGGAGAAGACCTTTAAGATCATCAGCTCCAGCCATTACCCAGCACTGCCAAGACCACCGCTAAACCGTGTCACTGGGGGCCTCATCTATTTGGGTTTCTGAACGCTTCCAGGGATGGTGACTCCACCACTGCCCTGGGCAGCCTGTTCCAACGCCTGAGCACCCTCCCTGTGAAGAAATTCCTCCTAATATCCAGTCTAAATCTCCCCTGGTGCAACTTGAGGCTGTTACCTCTTGTCCTGTCACTTGTTACTTAGAAGAGAGCAATCCCCACCTCACCACAGCCTCCTTTCAGGTAGCTGTAGAGACTGGTAAGGTCTCCCCTGAGCCTTCTCTTCTCCAGACTAAACAACCTGACTGGGCTTTCTTTCCTTCTCTTCCAAAGCAACACGGACTTCACTTTTTTTTCATGTAGCATCTTGACGTTATCTGAAGCTCTATGGAATGAAATGCCCAATTATTTTGTAAAGACTGTAGTTTAAGGTAGGATCAACACTTTGTATTACACTTTCACATACGATGCACTACTTTTAACTTCTAGCAAAACTGAGCTTGCTTTTTGGTAATGAAAGATGACATTAAAATGGCAATTTTTGTGTAGCATTCCTTTATTTTTCTGAATACTCAGAAATACTTTTTTTTTGTTATTCTATAGGGTTTTCCCAATAGAAAACCAGAAAAGATGATTGATATTAAGGCCTGGGCTGAATACATCGTGGAGTGGGCTGCTAAGGACCCATACGGCTTTCTTACTACAGTGATCTTGGCCCTTACACCATTGTTCATAATTAGTGCAGCGCTTTCATGGAAGCTTGCAAAAATGATTGAGGCCAGGGAGCGAGAGCAAAAGAAGAAACAGAAACGCCAAGAAAATATTGCAAAAGCCAAACGAACAAAGAAGGATTAAATGGGGAAAAAAGGTCTTCCTTGAGCAAAGAATCCACTTCCTAAATGAAATACTTACATGTTTTATGTTGTAACTGTCCTTTGATACTTGATCCTCTTATTGATGCAGGGAATTCAGTCCCTTCAGTGTATTTTTTTTCTGCTGCAATGATTTGTGTTAGTTTATCCAAATGACACTTGTTACAGTCATTTAATCTACTTGTTCTAGTCCAGGTTGCTTTTCTAAATTTACGTGTTAAATTAAAAAGAACAACATGTTGGGTGGCTCTGGACATAGATGATTTTTTTCCCTTAGCTGAGCTATTGCGTAAGCGTCTTAAAATTGTCAAATTATGGGGGAAATTATGAATGGTGAACTGGATTACAGAAAGGCAAGTTTTTGCATACCTTCAGCAGAGCTGTAGAGATGAGCTAGCACCAGTGTTCCTTAGCAGCACATGTTACGAATTTCCTCTAAGGACACTGCATATGGCCCTGCGGTTCATTCGACTCTCTGCACACAGAGGCTGTTGTAGTGTCTTTGATGGTGGGGCCAGTCTGCAAAAAGAACCTATCTTAGCTCTTCCTGAACTACCAGCCATCATCAGTATTTAAATTGAGCCCAAACTCTAGGAATCTGTCTGCTTCTTCTATCTACCTTCATTTGTCTTGAGCCACTCCTATGTTGTTTGACTTTCCCTAATGCTCACCTGAATACTCCACCTGTAACTGTTTTCTGCCTTCAAACACTTTTTATGCCTCAAAGAATAGCCATAAATGGGGTCAGAACAAAGGCCCAGGTGGCCGGGTGTTCTGTGGAGAGTACAGGAGGAGGATGTGCCAGTAGTTCTTCCTACTTGCTAACCTCCTGGCTACCTTTGGTCTAGGACCTTCTGAGTTCAGGAGGGATCTCTGCTGCTTTCCAGGTTGCAAAACGCTGCCATGCTGGAAGAAGTCCAGGTGGGGTTTGTGTTGTAAATACGCCAACATTATTTAAACTTAATTCAAATTAATGTTTTTCTAGCAAGCAATTAATTTTTCAAAGCCTAATTTTTTATTAAGTCTAGTTCTAAAAAGCTTGTGTCAGTCATAAATTTCTTAGATTTAGTGTATTTCTAAACAGCAGCACAGAGTTACGCTTTCTAGCAACTAGACCTTCATTATGTTTAAAAATAAAACCTTAAAATAATACTGTTGTTCAAAAGAGACAACCTACAGAGCTGGTGGATATCAAGAGGGATTAGAAATGGGAAGTCTTAACTGAATGAAGTGAATGTGAAGTACTGTGTCTCCCCTTTTAGTTTTGTTGGTCAAAGCAAGCGTTATTAGAATGTGGCATTTCAGCATTTTATAAACACATGGGATTAAGTCTCCACATTTTGTATCAAGTGTTGTCAAATGTGTACCTGTTCCATCTTTGATACATACTAGCTTAAAACACATGGAGGAGAACTTCTGAAGGATGCACTGCACAAATAAATTTGATACTTTTTTCAAAAAATTGGATGGTCTTTATTTTGACTTGAAGTTTCAAGCATCATCTCTAAGGCAAATAATCTGCACATTCTATGTATCTAAACTATGTCCAAATACATGTAGTAATTTAGGGAAATCCTTGCGTACACGAAGAATAAATAAAAACTACTTTTTCATGACAGTCCCTTGTCCCAACCCCTGTGTTATTTTCCAGCAACTTTATACCAAGTGCTTTTAATGTCCATTATGGTAGTTATATGTAGTTTAATTCAGCCTGATTTTATCCTTTGCTTACTGCTGTCTCAAATCAAACATTCGAATATGTTGGTTGTTTTCTGGAGTTACAAGAATATCTGTAAGATTAATACAGTGTGCATAGTCAGTGTGGTGTCAAAGTGATTCCTGTCAATGAGATCAACTTTTCTGTCCACTTGCCAGAGGAAAGCACACTGGCACTGCCAAGGGAATTAGCAAACATTTTGAAAAACTATCTCAAACTGATGCCTAGGCTTGGGAAAATTTTAAGTGTACTCATCAACTCAAATTAATTACATCAAAACCAATTTTAAATAATTCTACATTGTTTTTTCCTTGAAGACTCATCTATTTTTAAGAAAATAAAGTTAGCTATAAAGCCTGCTATGATTTCAAAAGTAACTGATGAACAGCAACTGTTGAAAACAAATTTACATAGTATCACAATGCTGCTTTTCACTAAACCCAAAAACTTTCCAGTAGTTTGTCATGATTAAGCCTATGTGAACAGTTCTGCAAACATAAATGAAACTGCTTTAATACTACTTTATTGCAGACTTACATATACCAGTTGTTTATGTTTGTGTTAAACTTTTATCCATTAGCAGTATCTGTACATTACAATTGTTTACTTATTACGACTACTATCACTGCTTGGTGGCATCCAGGAGCCCGGCTGAAAGGTATTTGCGGTGCTGGCTGGATCTTGTGAAGGCTCCTTCTTTCCATAGTAAGGGGCAGACGCGTGGCCTTTAATGCGAGTATGAGCTGGTTCAGCAACAAGTCCCTCCTTGTATCCCTGAGCCTGAAGCAGCTTATCCTTTTCAGATGCATCTTTGATTTTCTGTTTCATTTCTTCTCTGTAACTTTCATTCCTAAGGATCTCCTAATAACACAACAGAAAGATAACTGGATACATCAGAAGTAAGTGCGATACACAAAGTTGGAATAAAAACTCTTTAAACAGTCCTTTTCTTAATTTTATAGTCCAAATATTCAGGTATGTAGGTAAAACAAACTGTTGCAAAATTAACTGGTTTTCAATATCAGTCCTGGTTTAGAATATTCTTAATGTTTTGGTCATGTTGTTGAAGTGAAACTGCACTGTAGTATCCCAGTTTCAATATTGAACCAAAAAGGAAAAGATACCCAGTAATCAACAAGTGTGAAAATGCATTACAAAAAAGGCTACCTTTTACATTGTTTTCTATATAGAACTTGCTACTATATAGCTATTTATCACTTGCATCTCTTCTGTAGCTCATTATGCCTTTGACTTCAGGTATCTGTGTACCAGGGTGCAGTTTTGGGAGAAACAGATGTTCAATCTTGACTCTAAGCTGAAGCCATGCAAGAAATAAAAAAAACAAAAACAAACCCAACCTAAATAAAAAATAAACAAAAAAAAGCACTAGGACAGAACTGAAACTACTGAGATGGTGTCAGGAGGAAAAATAGGGGGAGAGCATAAAAATCCCTGAGGGAAACCCTGCTCCGAGTTCAGAAGACAGCTCAACAAGGCCGAGCACCAGCATGGTCCAAGCAGCAGAGGAGGACAACATGCCCCCAGCTGCCCAGCTGATGACTGCCTGGCCAGCAAAGGTGAATGGTGAGTTATGATGAGGACACTAAGCACAACACTCCTTAAGGTGACTCTGCTAACACTAGGCATCTACCAGGTACACTAGCTAAAATGAATGCAGTGCATTCATAACAGGTGCAAAATCTTACCTACTGCCTCTGCACAGGTAAAAATCAAACAAAAATGATCTAGTTTTAGCATTTTACCTCCACCCCTAATAAACTGAAGCAACTGTATGATGCATGATCCTACTTCAAGGCCAGAAAACCCACCCAGAACATGTATGCAGAGAAAGCTCGTACAGCTTGCTGATTCAACTTCACGAAGCTCTGTACTGAAAGATGGCTGGGTTCAGGTTAAAGCTGGAAATTCACTAATAAAGATGACCTGAACTGGGATTGGCTTCTTGCACTGAGAAATGCTGAGGCTGAGTTGAAGCAACGGCAATTACTGGCTTGTTCACTGGTATAATAGAAAAACAACTGCTAGTAGACCTTGCCATCTTGTTCAGAGGAAAACACAAAGAACTCCCAAAGTAAACATAAAAAGCCTTGAAAAATACTGATGTTTGGTTTCTATTTGTTTGTTAGCATACGTTTCTTATTACAAGGATGTTTTGCAAATTTTGCTAACAAGACTTCTCTGTGCTTTTCTTAGGGCAGATAGTGAAAAGTATTCTAAACAAAAGCAGACAGGTGATATGCATATTTATAACACTTTGAGCCCAAATACAACTTGACTGTAACCAACACCATTCAACAAGGAAGCTGCTAGTATCCACATTTAGACTGGGATACAGGAGGAAAAAGGCTGAATGCTTTGGAAGAGCTAAGGAGAAACCAGACCAGTACCATGACATTATTTTAAAAAGGGCATTAAAATACATATGATATTGCCAAGAGCTGACAAAGCAAGTATGTGAACATTTAAGAACGTTTTTAAAGGCAGTATTTAAAGAAAACCTTGTCTTAGAGATACTAAAACTAACATATTTTTCTTAGTCCATAATTGCCTCTACCAAATTGCTTCTTAAATTCACAGATGCGCAGAGCAGAGGCAAAACACTTCACACACCTGTTCAGCATGAAAATACACAAGTAGCACACAAAAGATTTTGCAAACTGAAAGGGAGGCAGGGGGAAGGAACAAAATTCTGCCACACTCAAAGATACTGCCAAGTGTAACAAAGTCAAATTTTCAACAGTCAGTGTAGCAAAGCCTCATTATAACATTTCTTCATTCCATCCTTATTTACTACATGGCTGTATAAATCTACCATGACCTTTCAAGGGGATTTCTCCTGATTTCAAGGTGATTACTCCTATGGTGCTCTAATTACCCCACTACTAAGAAATAGGGGTGCATACCTTTGTGGTACCTGACAACTGCACCATAGTATCTGCTAAAAGAGCATGAAATGATTTATTAAAGCACAAATGTAATTCACTTACTAACTAGCTAGTAAACAGCTACTTACTAACTTCAGATATTTTCCAGTGATTTAACAGTTATCTTAATCAGGTAATAGCAGCTGTAACTAACTCAGATAATGCAGTTGTAACTAAACTCCAAATGCTCCAAGTCCATAGAATCATAGAACAGTTAGGGTTGGAAAGGACCTTAAGATCATCTAGTTCCACCCCCCCTGCCATGAGCACGGACACCTCACGCTAAATTATGTCGCCCAAGGCTCTGTCCAACCTGGTGTTGAACACCGCCAGGGTTGGAGCATTCACAGCTTCCTTGGGCAGCCCATTCCAGTGCCTCACCACCCTCCCTCTAAAGAACTTCTGCCTTATATCTAACCTAAACTTCCCCTGTTCAAGTTTAAACCCATTACCCCTTGTCCTACCACTACAGTCCCTAATGAAGAGTTCCTCCCCAACATCCTTGTAGGCCCCCATCAGATACTGGAAGGCTGCTATGAGGTCTCCACGCAGCCTTCTCTTTTCCAGGCTGAACAGCCCCAACTTTCTCAGCCTGTCTTCATACGGGAGGTGCTCCAGTCCTCTTATCATCCTCGTGGCCCTCCTCTGGACTTGCTCCAACAGCTCTATGTCCTTTTTATGCTGAGGACACCAGAACTGTACACAATACTCTAAGTGAGGTCTCACTCGGAGAGCAGAGCAGAGGGGCAGGATCACCTC